TGACTCAGAAAGACGGTGTCACTCCTGACGGCTTGCAGCAAGTTTTTGCCACCAACCTCTTTGGTCACTTCCTTCTCGTAAGTCGCTGCTGCAGGGTGTTTTGACTCCTAAATGATAAAAAAAAAATGGTTTGCTTTCAGCAAGTCTCTGGTTTTCTGCAGGCAGCCTGTGTGTCCTTGATGGAAACAAGCAAGGCTGACACCGAATCCGTTTGTCACTTAGCAACTGTCCTCATTAAAAATTAACAGCACATTGAGAGCCTAAGGTCACGGCAGACATTATTCAGCTCAATTTGCTTCTGCAGGGAAATTTATGATTGTGTTAAGTTGCCATCAGTGAGTGAGTTTTGCGAGGTTCATGGTTGGATGTCAAAGAGTCACTGGTGCTATTGGTGCAGTGTAAGATATGTTTTTTACCCTGTAAGGCTGAACTAATCAAAGACAAAGCTGAAATCAGAGTTTTTCGGGATGATTCTAATTTACGGTTTTCTTTAATCGTTTTTAGCGATTGCTAGTTTTAATAGCTAACAGTGTTCTTTGATGGAGGTAGCTTTTTTTTTATTTTTATTTCTGTGCATGCACTAAAGCATGTATCCCTAATATTTATCCAGTGTTTATTAAACTCAGAAAAGTGCAACTTCATGCTTTTGGTTCATAAAAATAAATTTCAGTTCCTAGTTTGGATAGAAATAACACGATTCTGAAGTTTTGGGGATGCACATCCAGAGCTGATTCTTTTGTTTTGACCCAGATTAGGGAACTGGAGCCGGTTCTGTGCCAAGAAGGACGAACCTCGCAGCTGGTTTGGACCTCCTCCAGTAACGCTAACCGTTCCGCCTTCAGTCTCGAAGACATTCAGCACCGGAGAGGAACTCAGCCTTACAGCTCCTCCAAATACGCCACAGACCTGCTCAGCCTGTCTCTCAATCAGCACTACAACAAGCAGGTTGGAAAATAAAAAAAAAGAAACACATTTAATGTCACTTAACGCTAAAACAAAATTAAACAATGCGGGTCTTTGCTTTAGGGTTTGTACTCGTCTGTCGTCTGTCCTGGATTTGTGATGACAAATCTGACCTTTGGCATTCTCCCGTCGTTTCCGGCCTTTCTGTGGACACTGCTCATGCCTGTCTTTTGGCTGGTGGGTTCAGCTTCATGAAACGTGACGACAACACGAAAAACATCCATGATTTTTTTTTTTTTTTTTTTTATTCTGTAATGACAAACATTTCCTTCTCCTGCCAACAGATCAGGGTGTTCACCAACACTTTTACCCTGACACCTTATAATGGATCTGAAGCTTTGGTGGGTAAAACAAAAATGTTATCATTTAAAAAAAAAAACAGCTCTGCGTAAATTCACGTTCTGATTTCTACCCTTCTTGGCAGCTTTGGCTATTTAGGCAAAAGCCTGAATCTCTGGACCCTTATGCTAAATACCACAGCTTAACATCAGGGCTTGGAAACAACTACACCCAGCCACACAAGGTGCAGCAAGTAACTGTAGATGTTTTTTTGTTGTTTTTTTTGTGTTTTTTTTTATGTGAATTATGTTAAAAACAGCTAAATGTTATGTGGTGTTTTCCCATTTGCAGATGGACATTACTTTTGAGACATCAGAGTCATTATACAGCAAATTACTTCAACTTGAAAGTGACATGAGGAAGAAAGTGGCAGAAACACAACCTGGAGGCCCCTCGCTGAAGACCTGAAGGACCTGAATGATAGCATCTTCTTTCCTTCAGTGTGGAATTTTTTATTTTATTTTTCCCAACCAGCAGCTTGCAGGAAAATTCACACCCACTGAACTTATCTGCCTTTTCTATGTAACCTCAAACTTTAATGTATATTTTATTAGGATTTTATTTTATACAAAAGCGTTAGATAATTGTGAAGTGGATGGGAAAGGATCTATGGTTATCGAAACAACTCAGAAATGTGGCTAACAATTCTATTTAGCCACTCTAGGTTGATAACTTTGCTGCAATTTGCTCCTGCCTGCAGGTATTTTTTTGGGGGGTACGTCTGTGCTTCCATTTTTACTCACTCTGTTTTGTAAAATAGCTCAACCTCAGGCATATATTCAAGAAAACTCATCTAGTTGGTCATAAATTGAATGAAAATTATTCATCCCAAAACATTTTAGTGTAGCTTTTGCTGTATATCAAGCAGGAAGGTGGGGCGTTGTCCAGCTGGCAGGTGAACTTCCAGCTCTCTCTTGCATCTAAAAGGTTTTCTTTATATTCAAATTCTCCAGTCAACTTTGGACTCTAAATACTTAGGACATGGCTTTGAGAGGCAATGGCTTGTACTGGATTTTATTTAGGGGCAGAAGAGTAAACTGAGGTGAATGCTAATACCTGCCATCCTGTTAATACCATGAATCATCCCCACTTTACAATGTTAGTCTAAATCCCAACATTAAAGTTTTGTGGTTCGAAATTGACCAAATGTGAAAATGCTCACGGGTTATGAATAACTACTTCAGCAAGGCACTGCATGAAGTTGATTAATTCCCCTTCATTTAGAAACGTGTGTGTGGGACTTAGCAGCAGAATGGGTGTTTTCAAATAAGAAGCTCTATTCTATTTCATTCTGGGTCAGGTGTGATGTAGCAGCAAGGTCATGCATTTTCTGTTAACTGCTGGAGGGGGAAAGAAAAGGCGCAATGCATCTACTTAAATATGGAGCAAATTATAAGAAAACAATAACATAAGAATATTACCGATTTTCTAAGATGTTGGCGTCCAGTCATCACATTGCAATCCAGGAGGGACTGTTTGTAATCTGGTTATCAATCCCCAAATTATCCAGACAAAACGCAGCGCTGTCCGACAGCAGACTTTCATCGTCATCATCATCATCATCATCGTCATCATCATCATCTTCCCAGAAGTTGACATATGTGCTCTGTGTGAGCGTCTCCGCGGTGTACGGCGGCGCGGCCACTTGCAGAAGCCCGGCGGCGCACCTGACGTTCCGCTGTGGAGAACCTGGTGCGCACATCCAGCGGCGCTCTCTCGGCTCCCCGGCTTGGTTTCCAGCGGCGCACTCTTCCTCCTCCGCTTCGCTCACTTTGGGGTTGCAAAAAGCCCACACCATTCCGCAGAAGTAGATGAAAAATGTGCCCATGACCATGACCATGAGCGCATAGGACTCTATCATGGCTTTAGTAACTGGAGACGTCATTTTTCTTCATGGAGAGCAGGAGCATTGATTGTGCTCAGAAGCGGCTGAGCGGGTCATCATCATCATCGTGATCATGAATAAAGGGGGCCGGCCTTATAAACAAGAGAAGATCTGCTTTCAAAGTAAACTATTACAAGTAACGCTTCTTTTTATTATTATTGTAATGTAGAAACTGAGGGAAAACATAAATAAACTATTACTGAATAGGCCCACCAATTTTTTGAAGTGAATACTTTTGTTCAGTGAAGAAATATTCGCAGGGTTGTAAATCCTCTTACTTCATTGTATGACTTTATGTGACATGGAGGCCAGTTTCACACAGCCACTGATCAATACTGGAAAGACAAGAGAGCATCCCATTCAAGTGTCGATCTTAAAATGGAGACATGGGGAAGCTGCCTTCATGTTGATCAAACCTACAATCAGAGTAATAATTAAAAAGTTTTAAATTGTCTTCACAACGGGGAAAGGTGGTCATAATGGAGGTTTCTACAGAGAAGAGCAGAAAAGATGGACATATTTTGTTACTGCTTGTTTGCATAAAGGGAACCAGTTGTTTGAAAGCAATGCAAGAAAAGTATTTTCTGTCATACCATCACAAATTTAAACGTGTGGCGTTTGTTCATCTGAGACTTTGACTAGAACCTTGTGCTTTGGTCAGATGAAACTATAAGATTTAACTTTTTGACCACAATCACTCCAGATGGTTTTACTGTACAGTGGGGATCTTGGGATGCTGTGGGCCTGGTAGGTCATCACTGGGTCCTTTAGTAGAATTATTAACCAAACATATGGGCAAAATCAACATAATTTACTCACTAGACCACCTTACCAGATCTTAATCCAGTAGAAAAGCTTAACCTCTTAAAATAAATAAATGACTGAATATTTTGACAAATTTTTATGATGGGGAAAAACGTGTAGTAAAGTCTATTAAAAAAAAACCTGGAGTTTAATTAATCTATGCACAAGACAGTCATGTGATTGTAAAAAAAAAGTGTGCATTTCTTAAATTGTGGAAAATGTTTTGTTGAGCTTCTTTCATTACTCCAGATGCACTTCACTGGCATGCTGCATAAGCCTAAGATTTTCTCTCAACGGAACTCTCCAATTATGTGTTTCAACCACATATTTTTTTTTCTTTGAACCAATTAAATTTTTTCCTCAAGACTCAATTGAGAGTAAACATATTCTATAAAATAAGCAAAGTAAAGCTCCTATCCACACCAATAAAAAAATGTGACGACAGTGAAGAAATACACATTTCTGCAAGTAAAAAAGTTAGTGATTCTGTAATTGCCAAATATAAACGTGCACAGCTGTAGATTAAAAATTACTGCCAAAAGCAAGGGCGTAGCCAAACAAGAGTGAAATAATTTTAACCTGCAGCATAGTTTAAACATCTAGATATTAGTGTGTAGACGTGTTTCTGGGGTAATTTCTTGTGAACGTAATAAATAATTAGGCCCAACTAATTTCCTGTCCTTTTAAAAAACAAATTAACCCTAATATTAAGATATTTCTTCCTCTGTGGTCTTCAATTATATTAAAGAACTAGTAGGTTATCTTGCTAATGTAAGTTTTAAAATTGACAAACTGCGGAGTAAAGCACTCCTGACAACTAAATAGTTTTTCCTAAAAGTCAAAACAACAACAGAGTGCAGACCGGGGCGACCATGCTTTCCTTTGCAAAGCATTCAAAGAATTTGCATTGTGGGTAATTGAGTTTTTCTTTCATCTACTCCCTAGCTGCTATCATGGCTACGGGTTTCCACGGAAACTACACAACCCACCCGCGCAAACCCCGAGGTCCCGGATGTCTACCGTGCCGGAAGAGAAGAAGGTCCTTTCCCAGCCATCTTGTGGCTTCATCTAGCGAAGTGCTCGCACCAAGCCTCGTAGAATCGGAGGAAAATCCTGCTGAAGGGGCGCCATCATGCCCGGACAAATGCAAGAAGGTTTTGGCTGTGCCATAACCAATCGGTTCGACCAGTTATTTGACGACGAGTCGGATCCGTTCGAGCTGCTGAAGCAAGCCGAAGTTAAGAAGAAGAAGGAGGCTGCAGCTCCTGGTGCCGCCAAGACTGCTGCGCAGGCTGCCAAGCAGCCCAAGAAGGAGTCCCAAAAAGACAGAAAGATCCCGCTGGCTGATAAGAAGGAGGAAACCCAGGCTCCAGTTCCACTTAAGAAAGATGGTAATATTTAATGCACGTTTTGGGCTCCCAATTAGTCAAAAGAGCAGCCTAGAAATTTAAGCTAACAGGCTAAGTTGCTCGGTTACCAGCTAGCCGTTATAACCGGGCTCAGTGACATGAGGTCGGCTTAACTCGCTATTTTAGTGCCTTAAGATGAGTGACATTTGCAGGAACAACGACTTTTACCCAAACTTAATTTACGACTGGAGACTCGAGGTTGCTGCGATACAAAGATAAACAGTTTGCGGCCCAGCTAGTTTTAGCTTTACACCCCCTAAAGGGCCTGGTTGAACAGAGAGCCTAACTAACAGCATGCTTCAGTTAAATCGTTAGCTCTGCTCAGGAGCCACTCGAAGCCAAACTACTTGTTGCTGCATATATCGGGAATCATTTAAAAATCGAACTATTATTGGTTAAAGCGAAAAAATAATCTCCGGAACATGTGAGAGGACGGTAACACGTGTAGAGAAGATAGGTGTGAGCTTCAGTTTGGGTTTTTGTTTTGGCGGATTTCTCTGCTGACATGCGGAGCTGTCCGCTCCTGCGGAGCTGAACCTCGTGGTTGTAGGGCGTGTTAACGCACAACCTCCACACTCTTACTTCCTACTGGCGCACAATAAACACTCCGCACGCGGTCGATTTGCAACAAATCGCATACTCTACACGATTAATCGTTTTTGTGTCAGCCGATTTTTGCCCTGCGCTCAAAGTAAGTCGTGACTTTTAGGTGAAAAGGCGCTGGCTGCAAAGCGTAGACTGAATCAGATTAGAATTTTTTTTATGCGTAATTGAGGTTTCATCACATCAAGCTGACAAGTAGGATCATATTTATCTGCCTGAGAGAGAGGATGAGACAGGTGCATTGATGGTGGTTCCACCAGCTGCTGCTGCTGCGGTGTAGTGAGCGGATCTATTTCTGGATCAGGCGATTTAGTCAATGGGAGGGACTTGTGTTACACTGGGCTGGTGGCTCTGACTCAAGTAGGGAAAAAAAAAAACTGGGTCACCAGTAATCCCAGTAGATCTGGCAAGGTAACTTTATCACAAATTGAAAGCAAATTATGAAACTCACATTAGGGCTGAGAAATAACCTTTCAGAGAAATCCTGAATCACTAACTTGCCAACAACCCCACCCACCCCCACGTTAATTGCAATTATTTGCTCCACTTGTGCAGAACAATGTTGTTTCTTTTTCTTGTCTCCTGACTCAACGTTTGGTGTGGATACGGCGATGCTGCAGGTCATCTAATCACTTTTTATTTTGTATTTTTTATTATTATTTAAATTCCTAGGTGCTGGCATGAAGAGAATGGGCAGAAAACCAGAGGGCGAAGGCTCCAGACCTCAGGGCGGACAGGGAGACGGACGGCCACCCGCAGACAGACGACCCGTGGACAGGCGGCCGCCCCGCCGCTTCGAGCGGCCTGCCGGCGAAACCGCAGAGAAACCCGAGGGTGGCGAGTTCTCCGTGGAGAAGTGAGTCTGGACTGATAACATACCAGCATGAACCATAACTAGAGGGAGTCCAAAAACTGATGCTTCAGTTACAGTATTTTCTTTATTTCTTTTCAGCTAATTACATAAAAGTTTTATTAGTTATCTTTATTCTTAAAAATAGCATAATAGTCATAGACATAAGTAACATTTTCAGTTTGAAATGGTGCTTATTAAATCCTACCCCAGTTGTCTCACCTAAATATGTCCAATGTTATGCATATTTACACAACTGTTGTTTTAAAATGCATGCTATATATTTATATATTTTGAAAAGCCCAATAAATCAGAACTTCACGTCACTGTGTCTGAAATTCATAAAATAGATGATCAGATTGTAGACCATTAGTTTGTTTTCTTTTTACCCTTTTTAATAACTGCATCAAAACTACAAACTCCATCTATAAATGTGACATTTTAAAGTTTATTACAGATCAGAAGAAGGTTAGGGAAATGTGCTCTGATGCATATAAATAAATAAACAAATGGGTTTAATCTTGTAGTTCTTAGATTTTCTGTTGGTTTTATAACTACAGCTTCTCACAAGGAACTGGTTTTATCTCTCTTAGAAAAAAAAATAATCTTCAAATCAGATCTTAGTAAAAACCAAAACATATCAGTGAGGAAAAGCTTAGTTTCTTCTATGCTTTTTTTGTTTTTGTTTGCTGAAAGTAGTAAAGACATGAAAAAGAGCTTATTTAGCATTTAGCTGCTGAATTATGAAGCAGATGAACTGCTGGATATTTTATTAAAGACTGCAGGAGCAGGTGTTGGAGTCCAACATAATTTATCATTTAAAGTTGTTCCTGTCGAGATAAGACAGTGAAAGACATGAACATTTAGAAAACTTAGATCCGTAGCAGATAAGAAGCAAAATGTTATTTCCACAAAACTAAATATTGAAGGCAAGTTTAAATACAAATCTCCATAATTACTTGCTTTCTCTTCAAATTGTTGACTGTGTTTTTTTCCCTCCTCCTCAGGCCCGTTGGTGATAGGCCAATGAGGGGTCGTGGCGGCGGCAGGGGAGGTCGCGGCGGAAGAGGCCGCGGCATGGGCCGCAGCGACGGATTCGACTCCAGAGGAAAACGGGAATTCGACAGACACAGTGGCAGCGACCGATCGTAAGTGTTCCTTTGACTCCCCTCATGGTCTGAATGAAACCCAAATCATTTGTGCTCAAGATGTTTGCGCTCATGTTGCGCGTGTGTCTTTATCACGATTGATGTTTCGGGGGGGATTTCTTTCCCTCTCCAGTAGTCTGAAAGGTGAGGACAAGCGTGGTGGGAGTGGATCTCACAACTGGGGCACAGTTAAAGATGAACTAAAGTGAGTGCTTTCAAAAGACGGATACAAAAACTTTACGTGTTTCTAGTTTCTAAGGAAGCCGGAGCCGTAACAATGCAGGACATTGAGTTTTTTCTCCCGTTTTCTCCGCAGTGAGCTTGACCAGTCTAACGTCACCGAGGAGAACCCAGAGGGAGAGGAGCATCCACCCGCCGACTCTGAGAACAAGTTAGTTGTTGTTCCGATGAAGGAAGACAACGTGGAACGAAAGACACCGATGCTAAACATGTCGACGCTAAACATGCCCATGCTAACATTGCTTTGTGTTTGTGTGTGTTGAAGGGAGAATGAGGTTGAAGAACAGAAGGAAGAAGGGCCTAAGGAGATGACTCTGGACGAATGGAAGGCCATGCAGGACAAAGAGCGGGCCAAGGTCGAGTTCAACATCCGCAAGGCCAACGAGGGCGCTGACTGGAACAAAGGATTTGTGCTGCACAAGTCCAAGGCCGAGGTGAGGCGTTTCCCACAGCTCCTAAAGCCCCACCTCACATTTTAACAGAGGCAAATACTGTTTGTGTTTCTGAAGTCGTTATAAGGATCCTGGCTCGACTTGAAAACTAAACTGCAAACATGATCCAATTAATTTTACTTGAAACTAAATGCAATGCTGCTGATTAGCGCTGTAGTTAGGTTATGTGTACTATTTATTTTTAGCTTAATGGTCAATAAATGTAATAGTTTTTATGAAACATTCATAGTATGAACAAGATTATTTCTATTCACTATTCTGTTATGACACTAAGACAAGTAAACAAGCTGACATTAGATGGTTTATTGCTACAAAACAGATGAGAGGAGGTGAAATTGGGCTTCAGGAAAATCTTGAAATGCCAAAGTGTTTAGCAGGAAGAAGAGTTCATTGTCGGTTTGGGTGACAGGAACGTAGTTTTATCACAATATTTCGTGGTAATATGATAACGGTAAAAATGACCATAAGAAATATTACTTCTCTTTTAGGTAACTGTGACAGCAATCATATCCTCACAAGCACAAATAATGTTCTTGAATTTGTGATGCCTCTTCCCTAGGACACCAGTCACATAAAGAAGTGTGATTTGTATCACTAAACTGCACACAGTAATGACATTTAATCATAATTTCTAATTTATTGATATTTATCAGTACTTTAATTTAACAAACTGTGGAAAAAATGGTAAAACTAGCAGCCCTGACAATACAGACAGTTTTGGGGAGTTTTAAACATCAATTGAAATTTATGACAATAAATCAGATTTCTGATCATACTAAGAAATTTGTCATGATAAATAATACAATAAATATGCTTCCCTAATGTGCCGTCGCTGTGCATATTAGACTAGCTGTCAAATGTCTCTAACATTTTAGTACACGCTTATGTTTTTCTGATGTGATTATATTCTGAACTTCTCTTAAAGCAGGACAAGAAAGGTGACCTGACTGAGCTTGACATCGATGATTCCAAGGTAAAATGTTACCCGTTGCATGCAGCAGCTCAATCTAAACTTGTGTGCAGGCGGGGTTAGGACTGCGAGAGCGCGCTTCTAATTAATAAAACCCTCTTCGTTTTTTTCTGTAATTCAGGGCGACGAGGAGCACCACTTCCGGAAACCAGCAAACGACATCACGTCCCAGCTGGAGATAAACTTCGGAGACCTTGGCCGTCCTGGCCGCGGGCGCGGAGGACCCCGCGGCGGCCGGGGAGGCCGCGGGCGCGGAGGGGAACGCGGCGAGCGTGGTGAGCGTGGCGAGCCCACCAGGCCGGCACGCGGAGGAAGGACTGACAGGGTAAATAATCCAGAGCAATGCTGCTGCTTGTTAGCCGTTTAGCAAATTCCCATCCTAACCGTGTCTTCCGTTCGCTCTCGCTTGCAGTCATCTACGTCTGTGCCGAACGTGGACGACCCAGAGGCCTTCCCAGCCCTGGCTTAAGCTGCGGCTGTTAAAACCCCTCAGGCCTTCAGGAGCCTCCTGAGCACCTCCACTACGAGGCTTGCATGTTCCTGGATCCTTCAGCAAAGTCAAATGATGGCGAAGACTGTCATAGCTATGACACTCTGTGAGGACTGAGTTTTATTCAATAAAAACAAAACAAAGATGGAAAAAAAAACAAAAAGAAATTAACAAAAAAAAAACACATAAAAACAAAAGGACTTCTTGCTACTCTGGAGCAACTTATTGGTAGAGGTTTTGTACTTTGAAACAAAGTAGCAGGGATGTTTTCATACAGTATTTTTTTCAGAGGTTATGCATCGTCCATTAATAAAGTTTTGTAATTGCTGCTTGAAAATATGCATTTTGAAATGTAAGCATAAGGATATATTTTGGCGTGGTGAGTGCTGTTGCTTGTTTGCTTTAAAGCGGGCGCCGCCGGAGCTCCATCACGAGCTCCGCCTCACCTGGCCGATTTCAGAAGTTACAGCTCCACTCATTGAGATTTATGGGTTTATTCCCCCCCCCCCCATTCCTTTAGCACTGAGATATTGTTTTATATTTTATAGAGGAGGTCTATTCTTGTATGATCTTCAGCCTGTAAATCAACTATTTTCATAAATTCTTTCAGAGACTGTATTTCACATGGTGCACATAAAAAGGAAAAGAGAAAAGAAAAAACACTGGTATTTGAAAGAGATGCTGCCTACATTGGAAATGTATGTGGAAAGGCACGCAATCTGGACTTTTCATTTTATTTTTTACTGAAATGTTCTTAAAAGCTAGTCTTTTTTTTTGTGGAACACATTGGAAACGCGTCCCAAATTTAAATCCCAGTTCAGTTCAATTGGAGAAAAAAAAAAAAAAAAAAAGCTGTGTCCATGCGTTTCGGATTTGCTCGTATCGGAAGGATAATCTTCAGACGTCTCTTCCTCCCACGCTCATTTAATCTTAGGTCATCATCAGCCACGTGCAAATCAGTCGCTGCCTTCCTCTTAGTTCTGAGTGACGAGGAGAGGCGTTTCTTTCGTTTCCTCCCCAACAGCTGAGACGCGACCGGAGACCGCTGGAAAAGCTCCGACCCTTTGTCGTTTACACACTCCGCTCAGCGTTATAAGCTCTGCTCGGCCTCGGGTTTCTTTCGGTCTGCGCTGAATGTTTTTCCTCTGCTGTTGACTTGCTCTGTAGTTTCCACGATGGCGCCACTGCATAATTGCTCTGAATGAAATACAGTTGTCCATAGTGTGGAACAACTGAATTGCTCTACAAATGTGTGAATTCCAGCCCTGCTATTAGACCTCTGTCGGTAAATAAAGGTGGTCAACAAAAAGCTCTTGTCCTGTCGTCGTCGGGGGTTACGAACTGTTGCTCTAGAAATGTTTGCAAATGTTCAGACCGATTTTAATACACCTGCTTCCTGATGAGATTTACCTGAGTATTTTTAAGTTAGGAGTGAAGAACGCTCATTTGTTTTTTATACAGTCTCCTGCAATTTTGAGGTAAAAAAAAGAAAGACTTTTACACATTGGCAACCACTTCATTAGTACCATCAACGGTTTAGGCTTCAGACTTTTTATCTTGTGCTGTTTTAATTATTAGCTGGTTGCATTTCAATCAATCAACTATACTGATGGTTAAAAGGGATTATTGATCCTATAGGTAGCTTTGCTGCCAAAATGGAATTTTGACAAATACAAAATATGACTAAAAGTGAAACTTTGTGCTCAAAATATTAAAAGCCACATTAATAAAATAAAACAGTACCTCAGCACACATGGGCAAGATTAAGATAAATATGTAAATTTTTTTGGCTTTGAAAATTTAAAATATAATTCAAAATCAAACTTCATGTTTTCCAGAGTTTCTTCCCTTTAATTTGGACAAAATATTGTTTAATCTATCGAGTTTCAATCTCACTAAACAGAGCCTCTAACATTCTAATAAAACCTTGAATGACCTCCAGAAATAAAAATGTTACAAGCACCTCTGGCATGTTGGAAGAAGAAAGTGAAATATCTACATGGTATTTGTCCAGCGTCTTCAACTCAAGCTATCAAAACTTTCGCTGTTTTTGCTCAGATCAGTTTTAAATGCGGCGCCTACCTGGGGCCCCTGGGCTGGAACCAGTTTTGGGGGGGAGGGGCTAGTAGAAGAAGCTTTCTTCTACTAATGAAAATTACAACGCAGTAATATGTAATCCTAGACATGAATTGGTGCACGGGAGGTTTAATAAGTCTGCCTGGTCACTAGCTCCATGTTGTTGTCCCCCAAAAAATGACTATCTTCTTAATTTTCAAATATTTTATTGTTTATGTTAATAGAAATCCCCAAATTTTAATACATTTCACTTGATGTAGGCCTATACGTTTGTAAGTTTTATGGAATTCTTATAATATGTAACCCCATATAAGATTATTATTTTTTTTTTTGCATTCATTACACACAAAAAAATGTCTTTGGGGCCTCCAAAAAACTGAAGCCCTGGGCAACTGCCCCTGTCAGCTCTTTTACAGGGGCAGTGAGAAACATTATTTAATTGAGGACAAGCGTCAGAATGCTACACTTTTACAAGCCAGTTTTTCCAGCAACGTGCTAGTTATGTCACATCCCAGTTCTGTTCTCAGTAATATCGTGATTTAGGAGGGCGTGGGGGATTTGACAGCTTCACTTCATGTCTTATTTTAAGATGTTTCACCTTCCATTCAAAAACCTGTTTCAGTTCTAAACATGGGTTGGAAACATCACGCCTGTAAGTTACACTCACAAGAATGAGCCACATGAGTCACTGAACCTACATGTTTGGGTCGTTGTCACTTAAAACCCCCAAAATGCCGACACGTGATTTGATTTGGCTGCATTACGCACAGTATTTTGAAGACTGGTACTTTCCTTTTCTACAATCTGAGCTTAGGCTGAGGAAGTTTAGACCTGGACAGAGTTGTAATAAAGTTGTTCTTCTTCTGCTCTGCTGCTGTTCCTTGTGGCTGACTCAGTTGTAGTAAAAAGCGCCTGAACAGGTATTTCTTGTGGAGAAGTGATGAAGTCAAGTCCATTGAGTAGAACCGCTTCCTCGGGTTGTGTCACTTTTTTTTTTTTTCCCAGTGGGAAACGTGGGAAGTTTGTGTCTCAGCGACATGTTGCATTGTCAAGCTGCCGTCATAAGTAGTAAACTAGGCCTGAAGGGATCATAATGAAGTGTGGATGTGGCACATTAACTTCTAACAGAGAGCACTGATGCATTGTAAAAACAAAGCAGTTTTCCATTCTAGTTTTACTTTTACTGTACTTTTGCGAGTATAGGGGCAAACAAACTGGAGTCTTTGTCTATTAAGAAGGATGTCATCATGACTCAAACGGTTTTGGTCAAACTGACCTAAGTTGCCCAAATACACGTTTTTATGTTGATGTGAAACTCTGCTTTTTTACATTACAAAAATCATACCAAAAAGTTTTGGTCTGGCTTTCTAGTGCAAATATCTTAAATACAATTGAAATAATGACGAAACTAACTTGCATGTAACTTTTCAGTACAATATGGGAGCTTTTTCTTGAAGTCAATAATTCCTAATAGTAATGGAAAAGTATTACCTATTAGTGAAATAATTAACTTTTTTTATCAGTATTTCTTGTGATTTAGTTCTGTTTTATTTCAAGTGTATCCAAGATATTTATACTAGAAGCTACATTTAGAGTACTTTGTGTTTTTGCAGTGTGTGTGTGTGTGTGTGTGTGTGTGTGTGCGCGCGTTATATTCAGCTCTGAAATCTGCATGAAAATCTTAAAAACTTCAAAAGTTTTACTGTGCTCACAATCATTTTAGTCAGACAAATCAAACAAAGGATTCGGTTTTAATTTGATCAAATTTGCATCCACATTGAGGTAGAATGAAGAGCGCAGCAATTAATATACAGCAGTATTTAAAAAAAAAAAACGTGGACTTTTTTAAATAGAAGACATCTGCGCATGTAACAGGAAGAATAGGTATAGATCCCAAAATTCATGGTGGACGATGATGCTGTTACGATACCGTCTCCTATGAAGAGAAGTCAAATCTGCCTTTTAGAGATCAAACCTTAGTAAAATTCCTCGTCTCTTTCTTTTAGTTCTGCTTAGTGTGTCCATAGACGTTCCATTGGAAAACAATTGTAATGCCTGAGAGGATTTCTGCTGAACTGAAGCTTGGCTTGCAGAGAGACAGTTCTTCATGATTTCTAAAAGCAAAGGAGGTAGTTCATGCACGTCTCGGCTGAGAGTTCAGTTTGAAAAGGCTCGGCGGGTCACTCTAAACGTTCTGAAAGAAGTCGCCGCAGTCGATTTTCACTGCGTCCAAGGTCAGCTTCCCTCCAAACCCCACGGGCTCCATGAGGATGCTGAGGCTGGGGAAAAACTGCATCCCTGGAAACTCCTCCTCGTCCTCCTGGTCGTAGTTGTCCAGATTGTCCTGCCCGTGGGACGAGATGTAGTCGATGGTCGTGTTCGTGTCCAGGGAGGTCTGCGTGTGGCCGGAGCTGTCCGAGTCGTGTGAGAGGCTTTTGATGTAGGTAGTCAGAGGAGGATAGAGCAGGGCCGACAGCTCGGTCTCTTGGCCCTCGCCGCTCTCGGGAGGGAACGCCAAGCGGTCGCTCTTGGGCGAGGAGGAGTCCCCCATCCGCCTGCACAGCTCCTCCACGTCCACCAGGATGGTCTCTTCTTCTGGGTCAGTGAAACTGGAGTTGTGAGACGGGAGATGCAGGTTCATCTTGCCCTGAACGGAGAGAAGGAGGACGAAGAGGGTCAAATCGGAACTGTGGCGGGTTTGACCAGCGGTTGATCCGTTAAAGTTTTGCTACATTTTTACCTTCTCTTTGGTGCACTCTTTTGCCCACTTGCTGTTTGCAGGGTCTGGCACAACATCAGGCATCAGGCACTGGAAAATCTCTTTGAACCTGAGATATGGAAAACTGTTAACCAGCAGTTAATCATCCCCCACCCCACCCCCCCCCAATTTAGATTTAAAGTATTCTCTACATCCGGCTAATTTTAAGGTTTTGGAGGGACCTGTCCAGAGTGCTGACTGGAGTTTCATTGAAACTCTTTGGATGAACCTAGAGCTGACAAAATGGCTGGAAAACATATCACAAACATACCTGTGCTTTACTACTGAGCTCTTCCACAGAAACAGAGTAAACAGCACCGTCACGGTGACGAACACACACATCAGCACAGTGGAGAGATGGTCGTCTTCTGCAAAAGCAGCAGGATGACATGTTACACCACGCGCCAATCAAATCAGCAAGAAGAGTCACAGCTGTCAGCACAGCCAGTTTAACGATCAGACGATGCAAATGGCAGATATGAAGATGCTCAAACTTTTCAGTGCAAGACTATGTTAATGGAATAAAAGCTGAATTTATCGTAATGTGTTGCACGTCTTCGCAAGAGGTGCCGGTAAATGTTGAAAATCTGCTTACCCTCGATGTAGAACTTGATCTTCTGACCGGTAGGACCTTCTCCTTTCGAGGTCGAAGCGCTCATCCACAAGCTGTAGGAATCAGGAGGAAGACCTTCGATGGGATACGATGTCTGCGATGCTTCTGCTGAGTCTGGTCGGGACAAAAGGAGGCATTCACCGTGAAACTATTCATGCGTCTGTCAGCCAAAAACCAACATTTTGTTTCAGTTTTTCTGCAGCTGAATGCTGGAATCTCATTTTAGTAACATTTCCCTGCCTGATGGACTTAAAAAAAAGTTAAAATGACTTAAGATTCTAATAATCATGAATAGGAAGCGGTTATTAAATTAACACGGCTGGCAGCAGCGTTCTGACGAGCTTTGGCACCGCAGTGTTTTTAACCCCAACCACATCCTCTTCACATGGCAAAACAAGACGCCAAGTGTTTACTGGATAGCTGCGTCTGCTTTCGTCGTGAGCATTAAAGTGAAGCAAAACGATTAAAGTGGCACAACGCAGCACGACTGCTTTAGTGAGACTTTACAATTAAATTGTTCTTACAACGCGTCTGGACTCCGTGGCTGTTCTCTAGGTAGATGGTGAACTTTGTGATGCATCCCCTGCGCTGCGCCCTGCGAAGCTGCGTCCAAGACACCGTCACCTTGTTTCTCTCCACCTTTTCTTGGGCCGACGGACCAATTTCTGGAGCTGCAAGCGACACAGAAGAGCCGCACAGCGATGTCGATTAGGTCAAAATTACACGACATGAAATATGTGTGACCATTTCGACTAAGATCTTAAGCTTAGTCGAAGTTACGCCGTCAAGCCCTACCTGCTTCCAACGTGGCGATCCCTTTAAAGCTGGTCCTGCTGACGGAGCTCTGGTTGTAGAAAACATACACCGCTCCTTCATAGCACTCCCATGGATTAATATCTGCAAATGTAAAAAAAAAAAAAAAAAAAAAAAAAAAAATATATATATACTTAGCATCTATTAAGAAAAACATATGAATATGAAGCTCAACATGGAGTGAAAAGGCTGCACAGTAACAACAATCAGGCTAACATCACAAAAAATTGCTGGTTGAGTCAAGCTGAGACTTTCAAACCTGAGAAAATATCAAATGTCAAGAATGGCTATGGTAGCATCATTCTGAGGGCCTGTTTTGTTGCCAGCAGCACCGCTGCGTTGCACAGAGAGAATGAAATATTGAAGAAAAGGGACTGTCTTCAACATTTCACGTTTGCTTTAAAGCAGGGCTGTCCAAAGTGAGGCCCGGGGGCCGTCTGTGGCCTTTTGAATGACTCTGTGCACCATTTGGCTGCAATGTTGAAAGAAAATGTATAATTTAAATAATTAACCAGGCTTCAGCATTCATCTTAATCTCGAAAGAAATAGCCCACGACCAACCTCCCAAAATTAGGAAACAGCAAGCCTTTCTTTTTAACAGCAACACTCTTTGTATGGTTTGGATCTGCAATGATTTCCTTCTTGTGCAAAAGTCTCTTTTGTTTGTTTCATTAAATTATTACACATTTAGTTCACTATCGAGCAGATACGATAAAATAAAAAATCTTTTTCAAGCTCAAAAGAAGACACCGCTGATTCAAATCAACAGGTAGATGGTGAAAACATCAGCTGGGTGTGCCAACAGGACATTTACTCCAGATACACATCAGAACTGGTTTGGAAAGGAGAAGGCAGGCTAACATTAACATTTTGGACCCGAAGTTCATTGACAATTTTGTGGCTTATGTCAAGCATTTCAACTATTCTGGAAACATCCAGCCTGAACCTAACCGGTACGATCTTTTGCAACTTGGCTCTAACTTTTCACCTGTGAGGGTGACGACGTTTTCATTTCCGTCCAGTCTGGCCCATCTGAGCTCGTCCAACACGTGACCCTCCGGGTACCACTCCACCACGTAGTGGGTGGGTGCAGTTTCAGCTTTTCTCCAGGAGATGGCGACAGTGTGGTTCTCCGCTGTTACTTGAACGTCAAGAATCGGTTTGGCTAAAAACACACATACACGCACACAAACACGCACACACGTATGTATGTGATAAAAGTGAAGCTCCAGTTTCAGAACCACCAGATGAAGATCAGACAAGGTTTTACCTGTTGTGTGACGCGTTGTCATGGTTGCAGGAGGCGACGAGCCTTTAGAGTTCACTGCCTGCACCGTCACTGCGCAGTCGGAGCAGAACGGGACAGAGTGGTTCTTCACGTCTGCGCTGACGTTCGTGACGACCGTCAGGTTGCTGCTGTTCACTCTGATGGTGTACTGAACGATGCTCCCTCTGCAGACGGATATGCTGGACTCCTGAAACGTTTGGAAAACATTAACTTTAGCTCTGCAGGTGAATGCGTTCTTTGCCTCGGTGAGTGATTACTGTCGCCAAGGATTTACAGCCAAACCGCAAGATGAGTGTGTAAGACACATCATTTCTGTTCAGCTCCTCTTTTTCTTGTAAACTGAAACTGCGGTGCGTCTACTGTCAGGTTTCAGTTTCCCCTGAGTGTGTGTGGGTGTGTGTGTGTGTGTGTGTGTGTGTGACATTAAAACAGTCTAGGTGTGTGTTTTTTAACTGTATTTGGCAAAAGGGTGTTCATCTCTCTCTCTCTGTGTGTGAGGATGTCACAAGATGTGGTCAAGGTTTGACCTTTAGTCTGTGCAGAACAAAGCAGGGAAACAGAAAGAAAATGTTACTACGGTAACAACACCGTGATCATGCAGCAGTGCGAGAACAATGGAGTTGTGAGAATCCTCAAACTCATGAGGCTCCAGTGAAGTCTGACGTGGAAACAGGCTCCTCATCCAGAAAGTACACAGCTTCTGAACATGTTTTTTTCCCCCTGAGTTTTAAGTTTTATGAAGTAGCAGTAGTAAAACCAAAATAATCAAATACTCATATGAAAGTGTATGAATCTCTTAAGATTGGTGGCAATTTTTAAGGTTAAATTTCAATGTTTTCAGTGGCTTTCAATACATATTTTTTGGTATCTGGAAGCAATTTGTGTCGATATCGTACATCTGAATGTGGAAGTTTACCATTATTAGAAAAATGATGAAATATTACCATTGCTCTTCGCTGACCCAATTAGAATAAAGTCAAGGTTCTCCAATCAGTGAATGTCCACGTAAGCCGAAATGTGTGCAGAGATGTGTATCCACCTTTTGAGGTGGTTCTAAAATTGTTCACTCTGTGGGCGATAAATACATGTATGCCACAATATTTTATATTTATTTAATTTATAGAAAACAGTGACATACTTCCTGGTATTGGCTTATTTCTCTCTGTTCATCTCAATAATCAGCATTAAAGTTGGTTGTTGTGACAAAAAAAAAATGCAAAAACGTTTCAGAAGATATGGGAGTTTTTTTAAGGCTTTGCAGTGAAAAACATTAAAGAGCAATTTTATGCATGTGTGTGTGTTTCGCTGCCTAAAGCAAATTGTTGTCCTTGATAAAGATGTGTCATACCCAGAACTGGGTCAACCAAACTTCCTTTCTTAGGCTGAGATTTTTAGTTTTTCCTGTCGAGCTGCTGTCGTCCAGTGTTCAGTTCAAACTTACATTCAGTTATATCTGTGCAAACTATACTTTTTAAGGAGTTCAATAACTTATGTACACTATTTCAAAAATACTACTACTACTACTAATAATAATAATCAAAAAACATATTTAGAAAACAGGTAGTTTTCAACACTTACGTTCCAGTAGACTCTCATGGATCTGAAGTCGGGGCCTGCAGCGAGCCACACATCCAGATGTTGGGCAGGAGCTTTAAAACCAAACATTAAAAAGTTACTTTTTAACATCTTTGTTTTTTTTTATAGATACTGAATAAATGTTTCTCTTTAAACTTATGAACCTACAAGACGTTCTTTTGTCGTACATTCCTCGATAAGTTTCACTAGTTGGTGACGAAAAGCTCAGAAGTCTTTTTAATTAAACTGAAAAACCCTTCAGTCTGATGCTTTCAAAATCTACAGCTTATGACAATAAAACATGGATCGCACATCTGCTCTTGAGTCTGGTAATTTATTATGAATTATTTTTAGCAGGTGTTTGACTGTGCAGCAAAAACAGGAAGGGATATTTTTGCACAGACAGCAGTTGGCAGCTGTGTTTGACGCCCCTCCGCCCTGCGTTATGTTCAGCCGCGCTGTCTGCGTTCACATAGAAAAGACAGATTGTAAATGAGGAGGCCTTCCGACCTCAAAGCTCATCACAAAGAATGAACAGTCAAAGATACCAACGAAGACATGCATGATTTCTGTAACAGCGAATAAAGGGGGCAAGTAATTTTGAACATAGACTATAGATAAAATGAGAATTTTTTTTTTTTTTTAACAACAGAGCCTTTTGTACTTTCAGTGATGTTTTGGGAGAGCTTTGTCTTATTTCCAACCATAAGACAATAGTTTAGTTGGTGAAAATAACTATATATAAATCTCCTGGGGGTATGAATAATTTTGGCCTTAGCAGTGAAGAATCAAGGGGGAAAACGAAACAAAAAACGATGTAGAACAAAATGAACTGAGCCCCACAAGGTAAAAATCTGCACACGACCTTCCCGTCATCAATAAAAAAAGCAAGGCAGCACAAACCGGTGCAGCTGATGTTTTCGATAACATCTTTAGCGCTTGCTGTAAGTGGAAAATGATGACCTGTCACTACTGCTTATTCATAGGTCATGCATTTTTATAGAGAGATATCCATATCTTCACACCATCAGAACTACAAAATACACTCCTGCATTTCTTGTAAGGCGTAGCTTTCCTCTTCACTGGCTTCCTTCACTCTCAACCGATGCAAGAGCGAGTGAAAACCAAATTTGCCCAAATCGACTCAATAAAATCTCAGCAGGGATATGGCGCACTGGTCGCCTTATCTGCACAGGCGGTTTTGTTCTCGAGATAAAACGCAAAAAAGGTTTCTCTTTTGGTCGTCGCCGTCGTCTTCATGGCATCAGTGAGTGGTGATCTGATAGCTGCCTCACAAACCCAGACTTTAGGAAGCACTGCTGCACTGTCTGATGGCCTATATTGATAAAGTCCCTGAGAGGTTAATTAGCCTGCAGACAGAACGAGCGGAGCTTTAAGTCAGTATTGGCCTCAGACTCACCCTCTTCTTCAGTCACGCTGGAGACTTCTGCGCTCCACGGGCTCCACAGGCCAGTGCTGAATCTGGACTGCACTCTGAAACTGTACACACTGCACGGCTCCAAAGAGGGGATGTGCTTGGCCTCGAATGAAGTCGTCAGTCCAACCTGCAGGTGATCAATGCACACTACGTATCTGATCAGCTGTTTGAGTTCAGATGCAAGATATTTCAACATTTTTCTTTTTTTTTTTTTTTTTTTTTTTTTTTTGGGAGGAAATTTAGGGAGTCCTTAAAACGGGGTTAGATTGTAAAACAACATCCTGTGATTTTTCTTTTGGAGAACTTTGAAACCCATTCCACAAAAAATATCTATACCCTGAAAATGCACACTGAAACATGGCAGTGGCAGCATCATGCTGGTACAGCTGGTCAGGGTTGATGTTCACGGCAATCTTGGAGAAAATAAAATCCTACTGGAGGGTGGAAAATACTTGAGGTTGGGGTGAAGGTTCATCTTCCAGGAAGGCAATAACTCCAGAGATACAGCCAGAGCCGCAATGCAATTGGTTATGTGAAAGTACATTTATGTTTTAGAATGGCCTAGTCAAAGTCAAATAGACAATCTTTGGCAAGGCTGGTCTCAATCCAGTTTAACTGAGCTTGAGTTGATAGCAACGTACCACCAAAGACTCGCAGCTTTAGCTGTTGTGGAAAAATACAAATGAACAATTTTTGAGTATAAAAAAAAAAGTTCCTCCCACTGAATAATTATGCACCACTTTGTGGTGATCTATCACTATCACATCTTTTTATCTCTTAATTTTTTTGTTTTTTTACTTGATGCAAAAAAAAAAAAAGCCTGAAATGGCTTGAATGTGCTTTTGATGGGCCTGTATTGATGAACAGAACGCACAAAGGAGCCTGAAAGGTCAAAATTTCATCCTATTCCTGAGACAGGTGAGTCATCTCGAATTCACTTCTTCACACGTCGACCGAGAGACTCATATCTGCCTCCAACTCTGAATCAGCAGAAGCTCAGAGCAAGATGATCATTCAGCAGCCAAACATGTTCAAAGACCTTAAATTGCCTTTTGCAATTTCTGCGCCTCACTCAAAGCCCCCCGAAGGCTTTTCAGAGAGTCAAGGGTTAGGGGGGGAGTTAAAACTTCTTACAGAGTCTGGATAAGTTGTCCAGTTGCATTGCTGCTTTTCACAGTATTGGATTTGCAGATGCGGAGTCCTCACAGGCTGTTCCACTTTGATGGTGCAGTTCCTGGAAGAGCACTCGACTTGATCAACAACGGGCGTCGATGGCATCACTGCTCGGATCAGAACAAAGTAATGGGACGTGTTACGATCAAAAAGTAATAGCAAGACTTACAGGATTGTGGTACAAAGGGGTTTGAGGAATGAGTGATTGGAAACGATTGCTGGTGACCAGCTGCAAAAAGTCAACGATTTCTGGAAATAAAATGACTTTGAATTTCTCTTGACTGTACACGGCGTGATTCGTCTGCGTGGAGCCGAACCTTAACAACAAGCGTTCAAAGTCTTACCGATGTCACTGAGGTTGTAGCTGACGATGGAGGAATTTTCAGAACCCAGGGAGTTGTGGGCTTCAATCTGCACCGACATGAGCTGGACAGATCTGGGTAAAGTGAAATTGGCAGATGTGCCGGACACGTTCCACACCAGTCCTGTTTGGTTTCCACTTGCAGTTCCAACCCTGCAGCCCACACAGCAAAGTTTGAGTTCAAAAGCATCTGCACGGCTCTAACTTTTACAAGCAGAATAACGTGGGAAGAGAGCGCATGCTCACCGCACCACGAAGCGGTTGTTGAGGTAGGTGTCCCTTCCTCTGTCCCAGGAGCAATTCACTCTCCTGGTGTCATTTTTCAGGATCCTGTAGGTGCATGAGATGTTTTTGGGCTTATCTGGTGGGTCTGGACAGGAAAGGAGACAAAACATTGCTTGTGAATATGCATTCTTACAGAACCGGATGCAGTCTTTAAAAAAAAAAAAACACACAAATTTATGACTAATAGAATCATTTTTCTCTGTTTCAATGTTCCGTTGATCAAACCGTCTGGTTGCATGTGTGAAAACAAACAGCCACCCTACTGAACTGCGAGTCACCAAGCAACAAAGAGAAAGCAGAACAAGCTTTTTTTTTTTTTTTTTTTTACAGGTTACTAAAGTTAACCCCAGTTTAGGTCAGGAAAGCTTTATGTGAACATGTTCTGCGGTTCTTCCCAACAAAATTCAGTATAAACAGGAAACAAACTCAGTTGTGTCATCTGCAATAAAGCTGCTTCATAAGCAAACTCATCTCAGCCAAATAAAAAGTCCCACGTACATCCAGCCGTGATGTCCAGTCCACAGTCGTCCAGCGGCGGGTTGCAGTCAGACGTGCAGCTGTATGTCCTCTCCTTCGTAATGTTCTCCACCCTCAGGGATATGGTTGTGTCGTTGAGCCATTCGTATGGGGGTTTGGTGCGCCCGTCGATGTACATGGACCGGTGGGTCTTACATCCTGGGAAGAAGGTGCAGTACACCACGAAGCCGGAGCCTCGCTGCACCACGGCTCCGGCGCTGGACCACAGCACGCAGGACGTCTTCTCACCTGGAAGCAGGAAGGCTCGTTATTTCCCCGAGGACTCTGGAGGATGGACACACATCCACGTTTTGGACATGTCAGGAAAACCCTGGCGAAATATTCACCTTCTACCTCACAGGCGCATCTCAAGGAATTTGAATGTCAACAGAAAGAGATTGATATTAACAACAATTTGATTGGAAAAGTGGCTTTGATTCCATTTTGATTGACTGTGCTCGGGGTTTCTTTTGCATGAATTACTGCATTAATGCGGAGTGGCCTGAGGCTCTGCTCAGGAAGCCCAAACCGCTCTGATGGCAGCTTTCAGCTCGTCTGCGCTGCTGGCTCTACAGTTTCACGTCTTTCCTCTTGACTAGTGGCAGGTGGGTTTTTGGTCTACGTTGCGCAGTGATACCAGGCTGTTCGAAAGCAGGTATTTGTACTTTTGTCAGTGCTGGAAAGTGTCACGTGCAGCTGGAAAATAAAAGCAGCATCTCCATGAAGCTCGTCAGAAGAGGAAAGGGATCAACATTTTCCCAATAGACAGCGCTAATTCTGGACTTAATAAAAAAAGATTTTAAAAAAACCCCAAAAAAAACCTGAAGTTGGTAACTTCTTTCTCTCCGCTCTCTCTTGCCACACTTTGGGGTTCTTGATTTTTAAATGAAATGCTAAATTTACTTTATTTAGAAAAGAAAAATCCACTTAGCCCATGCAACAATATTTCACATCTTGTTCTGGAGTGACCTAACGCAAGAAGCGTGACAATTTCCTGCACGTCATCGATGCGTCTGTGTTTGGTGGTGTTAATAGAGCAGTTGTCTTGAAATTGGGAAAGTCTGTCTTCCTTCAGTCACATATTGATGTGCCCCTGTGCAAGGCACCAAGTCCCAGGGTGTTTGTGTGTGTGTATGAAATGTGCCTCAACTCTGACTCCAAACATAGAGTACCTCTCAAACTAGATGGGATTGATGCAATTTCCGTTTACGGTGATTTTCCCTGTTTTTTCTGTACCATTTTTTTTCTTCTGCCACTAAACTTTCCATCAATAGTAACAGACATCTTTCATTCACAATGACCTTTTGTGGCTTGGCCTCCTTGTGGAAGTGTCAATAGCTGTCTAAAAGGTAGCTCAGCAATCTTCCCCAATGAGGACTGAGGAGGCCACAATCTTTCTACATTAAAACTCAAATTACAAATGTAAAAGTTTGAACCATAACTTTAAGAGAACGTTTTAGATAAGTGTAATATATATATATATATTATTATTTTTTTTAATTTATTGAGATGAGACGCCCCAGACAGTTATGTTATGTTAACCATGAGTATATGGGGTTTACCTGCGCACTGCTGCACGACCAGCAAGGCAACCGCGACGACCGTAACAGACCATGAGAGGAACATCGTCGACGTAAGTCACCAGAAACGGCATATATGAGTCTCACATCGCCGCCAATGCTGTTAGTTCCTCTTAAAAACACATAGCAGAAAAGAGAACAAAAATTAAAAAAAATAAAAATAAATAAAATTAAAAAAAAAAACGGCGCACAAAGTTATTTATGGCACGAATGATTCTAAACATTTGAGGGAAATTAAAGTTATGGAAACCACTTAGATTTGAAAGGATTACATTCTAATTGTGTACTTATGATTTATGTTGAATCATAAATACAGCGACAGTGTTATGTTAAAAGAAGGGAGCGATAAACGGAGGGGTGGGATCCGTCCCTAAAACTCACCAGCGACTCGCATCCCAGCGTCCCGGCCACGTTCAGCGCCTCTCTGAGCGGGTTGAGGTTTTTATCCGTGATCGCTTCTGTTTCCACGCATCTTCTTCACTCAGAGCGGCTTCACCGCGGGGAGACTGCGCGCTGCCTCTGCTGAAGTGACGAACTTCAGCCAAATGCAGTGTGTGTGTGTGTGTGTGTGTGTGTGTGTGTCACAGTTCATCAGTGACGACACACTCTGAGCACACCCAGCCTGAACATCGACAACAATTCATAAAACTATTCCGCAAATAGGAATGGGCTGGTGTTCCTCCACAGTTAACTAGATATTTAGAGATTTAGAGGGATTTTTTTTCTCCACATTTTTGGATAGTTTAACTTTCAACTTTTAATAAGTTAAATAGTCATTTGAAAACTCCAGTTTTTGCTTCTACTCTATCGTTTTATTCACGTTTTTGTAGTATTTACTGAAATAATTATTACTAAATTGTTAACATTTTTGTTTTATGATCTGATACACTGCGTGTATTTCTGCGAGTTATTCAGGCAGCTAAAGTGGTTCACATTCTTTCTTAGCATTTCTATTTACTTAACATTTTTTCAGTGTATCAAACCTGCGTTCTCACATTTTCCACCTAGCCCATGTCTGTGGCTTTCACAAACACATGCCCATGTGGTGCAGTCTGGGACTTTCCCTCAAAATCTGCACCACAGCTACACAACAGTACTTCAGAACCTGAGGTCAATTGAAAAGCAAGATCAGGGATCAATCTTCTACATGGAGTGAAGTGTGCGGACTCCATTTGTCGGTTACCCTGGTGAAAATGTGAGGAGGAACTGAGACGACTCTCAGGAAGAGATAAAAACGTGTACAGTGCTGCAAGTGGTGCTTGTTTGAGTAGGACTGAAGGTTCAGGGACCCGTCACCGTATTAGCCATGAGCCACGGGGAGGGGGGGAAGTCCCAACTGACTTCTACCTGAGTGTGTTTTGAAATAATTTCTCTCTCTGTGCCACTTCATTGATCACTAAACACAGGGGCCACCAGGGGACACACACACACACACACACACACACACACACAGAGGTCACACCCCAGTGTAAAAGTGACAGTGAAACAGAGTGGGTGCTGTCCAAACGCTAATGTAGAGCAACGTATGACACGTGCTTCAAAATATCAAACTGTTACGGTTGCTGCAGGATGCAGATCACTTTTTGTGGTGCTAAATTAATAATATTGATGTTATTAGCTGACGCTAGAAGACAACACAAAGTGAAGTTAATTTCATGCATGTTTTTCACATGTAAGTTAAGAGGACATCAACATCAAATACATTGAAATGTTAACCAAAGAAAAGTAAACACAAAATGTAGTTTTTAAATGAAGATGCTCATTGCTATGGGTGGAAAAAAAAATCCTAACCTACATAGCACTGTGTGAAAAAGTGATTTTCTGCACCGTTACTTAGCTGTGGTTTATCACACCAGAGTTCATTGTCTCTCTAGTCAAACGGACCTAATTGCTGCCACACCTGTTCTCAATCAGCACCTCAGTTAAATGCGACCTGCCTGACAAAGTGAAGGATGCCAAAAGATCCTGCAAAACTAGACATCATGGTGAGATTCAGAGAAATCAATTGAGATTTACCAGTTTGGGAAAGTTACAAAGTTGTTCCTAAAGCTTTGGGACTCCAAAGCTTTGGTTCTCCAGCGAACAACAGTGAGAACTGTTATCCAGAAATGGTTTAAAAAAAATGCAACAGTGGTAAACCTTCCTAGGAGTCTCTGGCTGAACAAAATTACCCCAAAAGCGCATCAATGACTCATCCAAAAAGGTCACAAAAGACCCCACAACAACATCCAAAGAACTGCAGGCCTCACTTGCTTTAGTTAAGGTCAAAGGTCATGCCTCCACCATAAGAGATTGTCTTGGTAGAGTTCCAAGACTAAAACCACTGCCTGCAAGGCTCATCTTAGTTTTTCCTGAACACATCTTCATGATTTTCAAGACTTCTGGGAAAACATTCTGTGGACCGATGAGACAAAAGTTTAACTCTTTGGAAGTTGTGCATCTCGTTACATCTGGCGTAAAACTAACACAGCATTTCAGATAAAGGACATCGTACGAATGGTAAAACGTGGAGCTGGAAGACTCGCTGTGATAAACGGAACGATGAATACTGCCGTCTACCTAAACATCCTGAAGGAGAACATCCGGCCGTCTGTTCCTGACCTCAAAATGAAACGAACTTGGGTTCTGCAGCAGAAAAATGATTCAAAACACACCTGAAAAGTTCCTCCTCTGAAGGCTGAAGAAAAACTAAATTGAGTCTGTGGAGTTGCCTAGTCAAAGTCGTATTGAGAGGCTGCGGAACGACCTTGAAAAGTTTATGCTGGAAACCTCTCCAATACGACCGAATTAGAACAAATCTGCAAAGACGAGTGGCTGAAAATTCCTCCACAGCTGTAAAAGACTCACTGCAAGTTATCGGAAAAGCTTGTAGTTGTTTTAGCTAAACGTGGTGCAACCAAGTTTAGGAGGCAATCACTTTTTCACACACGGCCATGTAGGCTTGATTTATATCTACCCTTAATAATGGACGTCTTGTGTTATCTTTGACTAACATTGAAATTGGTTTGATGTTCTGAAAAAACTTAACTGTGGCAAGCATGCAAAAACAGGAAATCACGAAGGGAGGTCAACATATTTTTACATCACTGAACCGTATTTGAATTTAGGGGAATAAAGTTTCAAATTCAATCAACATCTTTGTTCATTTATTCAGACAGGTAGCACAGAACATCCATCCACAAAGATCAGCAGACTCTCACCTGAGAGTAAAGCCATTAAAACCTCTTACACACTCGCTTCCACGGTAAAAATGACACTTAAATACAATCAGCAACCACGACACGGGGGGTTTATTGGTGCGATGATTAAAATGTGTGCTTTTGTAATGCTTTCTCAAAATTAGCCTTAAAAGTGCAGTTCTTGTCCCACCAACATCGCTGCCACCTTGGCGTGTCAAGTGTCAACGTCAAGGGAAGCCACCTGCGGGAAGTAGCCACCGTTCAGGAAGGTGCGAGCTGAAAACGGAGAGGAGCAGGTATCGTCCGATTCGAGAGCCTCTCTCTGATCCTGCTGCAAATCCAGAGAGGAAACATTGTTCTCCGTGTCTTCCTCTGGTCTGGTCATCTCTTGCAAGCAGACTCCTTTCCAGACAGACGTTTCAACAGTCTTAGGCCACAAAAGATCCCCGGTGGAGCCGAGAGTGACCCGATGAGACGAACTAGAGCGATCCATGTCGGACAGGAAGCCTCCCAGAAATCCTTCAAATCCAAGCAAAAGCCTGTCTTCCTCTGCAATTTCTGGATCTTCCCGTTGCTCCTCCCTTGCAGCCCTGATCTCCTTGTCAAGCGGGACCAGCGCAGCAATCTGCGGCTTGTAGCCGGTGTGTTCAACCAGAACGGTTCTGTGGAGCGACTTCGCCTGCTCGGCTCCGTCCGGGGACTCTTCAACGTGGATTGTGGGGTACGCCTCGTCCCTCTCCTCCTGGGAGACCACGAGGATCGGGGAAAGTGTCGGGTCACTGTCGATGGAGGAGAAGAGACGCTCACTTCTGTCATCCTAAAGAAAAGAACACAGTAGGAATTAACCAGCAGAAAAAATATTGAGTTATCACTACAAGGCAAACATGTTTGTTGGACAAATGCACATTTTTTGTTCATTTAGATCTAGAAGAGCAAAAGAGACCATTAGCAATGGTTTCACTTCCTGTAGCGATGTTTCCACAGGTTTAATATTAGAACCATCCTAAAATGGCACGAATTTGCAGCTGTTGTAGTTGTTTTGGACAGAAGCCATTCTTTTTTTACTCACTCTTTTTTTTAATGTAGGTAAAACTACATTAAGAGTTGATTACCTCCAGCAGTCTGATGGCGTTGCTGTGTCCTGGTTTGGGCAAGTTGTGCACGAGCCACTCGGGTCCCCAAGCTATACATTTCTGTTTGATCCTACAACAAAAGAAGAATTAAGATACATTTTTTTGGACACACAAAGTTGTATAACTTTGTTTTATTGGTCTGAATTGACAAAGACAAACACAGATTATTGCAAAAAGTGCTCAAACCACAAGCATTTTCACATTTTGTCACATTCTATCGTATTTCATTAGAATTTCATTTTAAAGGTCGACATGAACCGCAGCGGAAAATTGTGAAGAGGAAGCAAATCGTGCATGCTTTCAGCATTTTGTACAAATAATATCTGAACACTTTTGGGCCCTTAAATAAAAAACGCCTTAAATAAGAAACCCTTAAATAAAAAAGGCTCCTGGTGGCGCTGAAGGAGCTGCAGAGATCACTGTTGTCTTGCTGTGAGAAGGTTCTGGGTTCTTTCTGCATGGCGTTTTCATGTTCTCCCTGCGCGTACGTGGATTCTCGGTGGGTACTTCAGTCCAAAACCGTGCATGTTAGCTGAAACAGCCACTCTAAGTTGCCTTTAGGTCTTGATCATGTGCGTATGCATGCTCATCTGTCCTGTGTTGCAGTTCAGCTCGAGGCTTGTTCACATGTTAGAATGTCCTAGTTAAAGGTCATACCATAAGCCTATCGAGAATCTGTGCATTTAAAAACAATATTTGCATTATGCTGTCCTTCCAATCTGACCGAGATTGGAACCATTTACAAAAAAAACAAGAATCCACAAGAATGCGCTTTTCATTGCGATTATGTGGACCTAATATTTTGTGTCGGTTTAAATTCATGAAATCCCATTAAAACAGACGGAGGTTTGTGGTTGTGACGTGACGATGTGTGGTTAAAAGTGCAAGTGGAACCGACGCTTGTGCAAGGAAACGCACATAGATGCTAATGTCATGACTAACGATGCAGATAGCCAAATAGCAACATCAAAATGAGGTTTAGGTTTCTGTTCACAACAACCAAGTGGGTTTTTACTCATGTTGTGGTGTGGTTTTTCACTAAAAATTAACCACAGGGACCTCCATCCCTTTTACTCGTAAAACAAAACTTATGAACGTTCCAGCTGCAGGACAACGAGCCGAAGAAAAAGAAACGATGCTGGCTCACGAGTTTTGCTAGTAAAACGACCGAGGCTTTCTGTGGAAGAGGTAGCGCTTTTAGTAAAAATTACCGTTTCCTCACACAGCTCCAGCACATCAGGTTGG